AACTAGTTGGCGTCGAGAAAAGTTGCGGATTCGCCATAGAGCCCAAGCCAGGGCTTCATGAAGGTCAGAAAATGGCATTTTTGGTTGGTTTGAGAAAATTTATAAACTTTGAGGCGAAATATCTCGAGTTCCCCACCTAGCTCAATGCTCCAAATGATCTCAACTGTTGTTCTAGAACCCCTCAACTACTTTGCGTCGAGAAAAGTTGCGGATTCACCATTGAGCCCAAGCCAGGGCTTCAAAAATGTTCAAAAACGGCATTTTTGGTAGATTTTTCTGATATTTGTAAACTTTGAGGCGAAATACGTCGAGTTCCCCACCTAGCTCAATGCTCCAAACGTTATCAAGTGTTGTCCTAGTACCCCTTTACTGGTTGGCGTCGAGAAAAGTTACGGATTCCCCATAGAGCCGAATCCAAGGTTTCAAAACGGTCAAAAAATGGCATTTTTGGTAGATTTTTGGGACTGTTGTAAACTTTGAGGCGAAATATCTCGAGTTCCCCACCTAGCTCAATGCTCCAAATGATCTCAAGTCTTGTCCTAGTAGCCCTTAACCAGTGAGCGTCGAGAAAAGTTGCGGATTCACTTTGGAGCCGAAGCCAGGGCTTCAAAAAGGTCAGAAAATGACATTTTAAGTGGGTTTTTAGAAAATTTGTAAACTTTGAGGCGAAATATCTCGAGTTCCCCACCTAGCTCAATGCTCCAAATGATCTCAACTGTTGTTCTAGTACCCCTCAACTGCTTGGCGTCGAGAAAAGTTGCGGATTCACCATTGAGCCCAAGCCAGGGCTTCAAAAATGTTCGAAAACGGCATTTTTGGTAGATTTTTCTGATATTTGTAAACTTTGAGGCGAAATATCTCGAGTTCCCCACCTAGCTCAATGCTCGAATGTTATCAAGTGTTGTCCTAGTACCCCTTTTACTGGTTGGCGTCGAGAAAAGTTGCGGATTCACCATAGAGCCGAAGCCAAGCCTTTGAAAGTGTCAGTAAATGGCATTTTTGGTGGATTTTTCAAATATTTGTAAACTTTGAGGCGAAATATCTCGAGTTCCCCACCTAGTTCAACGCTCCAAATGTTATCAAGTTTTGTCCTAGTACCCCTTAACTAGTTGGCGTCGAGAAAAGTTGCGGATTCGCTAAACAGCAGAAGCCATGTGTGTCAAGAACTGAAAATACGGCGTTTTTACTACTTTTTTCTCAAAAATGGCGTCTCTGTGACGCTTGGATGGTCCTGTGGCACTTTCCCCATCAGAGTGCGTCTTTCTGCATTAGGTTAAGTCAGTTAGAACAATAAAATATTTTTTTCCCACTTTTCGATCTTTCATTACACTGTGCAGCGCAGACAGGCGTATTCTGGACTAGGTAGGTTTACTTTTATCGGTTTGTTCTTCTAGATTCATACAATCGTGGACCAAGCACAAAGTGGATCTTGCGGTGTATGCGTCACCAAAAATGTTTAAAATACTTCAAACTGTGTTTTCCCGCAGAAAAAATCTTTAGTAACTGCCAAGCGGGTAACAAAATACCAAATTTCAATCTCCTATTTTTGCGGTATTCTCCTCTGGAAGTTCAGCAGACTGGAACATAGCAGCGTGAAAGGCCAGCAGCAATGCAGAGATTCCTGTTGCACATCCCTGCGACAATCGCACCTATCTATTGACCGCAAAGCGTTTCAGATATCCTGCAACGTGCACCAAACGATTTCCCATTTCCTATTAGCTGTGGTCCGCCCTCATATCTCTGGAAAAGGCCGGTGTAGGCCAATGATCAATTTGCCCGCCCCGTAAACTAGCAGTGCACGATGCTGTACGGATGTGTTACCTCCAACGTTTTTAGTGAAGAAAGAAACGATATGTTAGCCTTCTGACTTACTTGATCTGAAAAGAGAGTACTATGATTCCATGCGGATTTAAAATGTTTGCTCGTCATTATATCCTTCAAAGTGTACTCAGGAGAGCATCCCCACACCCAGCACACATCAGATCATGTAACTGATTTTGTAAGTGTAATAATGAACTAATTTAAAAAGCAATAAGAATTTTATAGCATGAAAAGCGCCATGAAAAAGTTTATGTATTACATGTGCAATAATTATTGTATTGCATTAGCGCATTTATCGCTTTATAAGCGTAGTAATCATTTCACACCAAAACTGTGATAATCTGGGCCAGGACCGGCCAAAACCCAAGAGACTTATTGCATTTTTAATGCGTTAATTTTTTTATTGCTGCCTCAGATGCGATAATTTAAAGAAATCACATTATCTCTTTTATTGCAGCAAATTGTGTAAAGCTTATCACATAAGAAATATCAGAGGTAAGAAATATCAGAGGTTAAACTTCACTTTGCTCACTTAACGTAACCTGAGTTCTTTGCACGTACTGGCATTTCTAGTGATAAGTTTCATACAATTTGCTGCGATAAAAATGCTAATGAGATTCCCCCAAATTATCGCATCTGTGGCAGCAATAAAAAATTATCACATTAAAAATGCAATAAGTCAGTTAGGTTTTGGCCGGTCTGGGCCCAGATTAGCGCAGTTTTGGTGCGATTAAATGATTACTACGCTGATAAAGCGATAAATGGGCTAATGCAGTACAATAATTATTGCACTTTTAATGCAATAACTTTTTGATGGCACTACTTATGCAATAAAAATGTTGTTGCTTTTTAAAGTTCATTATTACTCATAGAAAATCAGTGCGTACTTTGCAGAATTTGCAATCTACATTTCTTGCGAGAACTTCTTGGCTTTAGACCTGATGATTATACACACTCATTTCAGGAACGTGGCATCAAGTTGAAATGAATGTGACAAAGTGTCACGTTCCTTTAAGCATTGTGTCGGATTCGTTCAAACGCAAATCAGCCACAAATTAGCTCATTCACGTGGGAACGATTGTGATACAATGCTCAAAGGAACGTGACATCTTGTCACATTCGTTTCAACGTGTTGTGATGTTGCTAACAATAACGTTATGATGCCTATTCGAGGGAGGCTATCTGGTTTCAGATTTAACACTGAGAACGCGAACGCCACGAGTATAGCGTACAATGCAAAAGCATTGCACATAAGTGCAATGGGTGATTCCGTGCGTAGGGGCCGTTTTAGCCACCTAAGAAAGTCAAGTAATCAATCTTGCTTGTTCGGCCGGAATTTGGCCTAGATGGCATCAATTGAACCCCAGGAAGACACTCTGAGCGTGGGCGAGCTAAAAGTTGACTTTCGTTTTCTCCCCCTATAAAATATGACGAAATTAACTGAAAATATGACGGAAATTACGCTTGACGGAAATTACAAACAGGTGTTTCTGGCTCACTGCAACTGCATATCGCCACAGAAATATGCCATAAGTTTGGCACACTAGTTCGACGTCAAGACACATCTTTTCAAGTGTAGGATGTCTTTCAAAACCCAATAGACGAGGAGCGAGAGGGGCGTACGGAAATTACACCAATTGTTACAACCCACCGATTTCACACACAACTTCCACTCGCACACTCACCCCCCTCACTTTTTCGCCACCGAAATTCGTTCTTATGGTAAACAGACCGTGCTGATTCTGAATACGGCGGTGGTTTTGAGCAGGAAGCACTCCTAGTAGTTTTTTTGGTGCTCACTTTGAAACCGCTAAGGTAAAAGTCGGAGTACGGTGGACATTTAGTACGCGTTCTGAAAGTACAGTTCCAATCAATATACGATCTTCAAATTCAAGCAAGATAGTCACTCTTAGTTAAAGATTTGATGGGTGTGTGTGGAATTCGAAGATTTGAATGGAACGCAGGGTTATAGAGCCGCAAAGTTGGTGTAAGGTGCGAATGGACATGACGGAACTTACAAAATCGACCCTTTTGGCCCCTCTCCCGCGTCACATGTTAGCTTTGAAAGTCCGTATACAAAGGGAACAAGCTATTCTAGTGCCAAACAAGATTCTTAAGTGTATAAATGGACTGCACTCGAATAAGTTAGCTCTGGGGAGGGTGTGGACACGAAAACGCCCTCTACGCACGGAATCACCCCAATGCCTCCCCATTCCCATGCATTGGCATAGGGCATTTTCAGGACGCATTGCACGTCAGGTGCAATATGACTGAGGCATTGCAGGTATGGTGCGATGTCTCAGTGCATTGCACCGTACGTGCTTTGTATATTCATAACGTTTGGTATCTCAGTGAAGGTACTTTTTGAAGCAAACCAAATTTTTGCTTCATGCCCATGAAACGAAGATCTTCGAAGATCATCATCACAGAATTGTGCCAAGCACGCAATAGAACTTGCAGGGTCATTGTCTTTCACTCACTTTTCGTATTGGGTTCTTCTTGACGTAGTGTTCAATCTTGATTTCCTCACATACTTTCAAGATTTTGAGATCGAGATCTGACAGTTACAAATTAATTTTGGACCTAAAATGCGAGTATATTTACATTTAAACAGACGTCATTTCAGCGCATCAAACATGTTAAATTTACCAAAGCAGAGAAACTGCGTTTCCTTCACTTTATCCTGGAAAGCACTGCATCGTTCAGGTTTATTTTTCACAGCTGAGGAACTGTTTATCTGTATTTCTCTGCTAAATACTCTCAATTTGACATCACAGTGGCCTTCAGAGACCCCTGAAACTGTCGGAACGACACCCAACTTGACTGGTTGCGGAACCGTTCGAAATCCGAAGAATTTGGCAGCCATTATCCAAAATGGCGGCCATTTCCGGTACTTCCGGTGACCTCATCGTTGTCCTGACATCGCTAATGAATTCCCCGACCTCGAATTATGCGGAAACGACTCGTCGCACGATTTTAACAGTCAAAATTGAAACTTCGAAAATTTTGAACACTTTTAACCTTGAACGCCCCCGCATTTGAGTCCTAAGGGAAATTTTGACGTGTGCTTCGGGCCAAATCGACCATTTGGGTCAATAGAAGACGTGTGCAAAGTGGCTTGCTTGTGACCCAATTTGCAACGTGTTTTTGCTCTGTTACCCCCACTAAAACACAATGATGTCAAATGGGATTGGGGAGGTTGAAACCGAAAACTTGATCCTAACCGATGTCCACTTTGTTCCAGAACTGAAAAGAAATTTGCTATCAGTAAATAGACTGACCAGCAAACAAGGAGCAGCGCATTTCTATGACAAAGGAGTGAAACTGCTTACAGAACAAATGAACATTGATCCAAGAAATGTACTATTGGAAGAAATCAAGACGGATCTATGACTATTCGTCCCCGACTGATTTGTCCCCACGCTATTTTGTCCCCAGCTGTTTTGTCCTCACACATTTCGTCCCTATTTATTTGTCCCCGGCGAAATTTCGTCCCCGGTTCCAACCCCGCATTTCTTGTCCTCACTTGTCCGCACTCGTCCCCACCCGCAATGGGAGAGGGGGTATGCACGCCGAAAAAATTGGCTATACTCCCGGCTGCGCGGGCTATACTCCCGGCTGCGCGGGCTGCACTTGCCTTCAACAATGGGACTCGGTCTCCGAAGCTTTCCTTAGAAACAAGTTCGGCCACAAACAATTTTCAAAATTCAAAATTATGAGTGACGAAGAGCAGGGGGACCTTTTGGATAGTGAGAGGGGGGGTTTCATTCTCAACCACAAGGGCTACTTGTACTCGCGCCACAGTGAAAATGCAGATGGCAGTCGCACATACTGGATGTGCCGCAGAAGACCAGCGTGCAAGAAGAGGGCAATCACTGCAACACCGCGGGGCGCGGACAGCACCGTCACGGTATTCAAGAGTGTCGACCATCCGAGCCACCCCCCCCGACCCGTCCGAGGCACAGGCACTGCAAGCGTACATGCGGATGAAGCGAGTCGCGGACGAACATCCCGAGGCCCCCCCTGCCCAAATACTACGTACACACATGCCTGACGTGAGTGAAGTGAATTAAGTGAAACCGTGACGTCAAGTTCGTGGATTTCCAGTGCAGATAGTTCGTAATGAGGTCTCCTCCACCCAGGTCCCCAGCGAGGCCATTATCCATCTACCTGAACGTGCTGCCATGAAGCGGACCTTTAACCGCCGCCGTCAACATGGCCTGCCGACGAACCCGAAAAGTCTAGAAGAGTTGGGGGACATTCCGGACGAGTTCAGGTTGACTCTGGCGCGAAAGCAATTCATGTGCTTCCACTCCTTCCAGGAAGATGAGGAAGGGAAGCGTATCATTGTGTTTGCTTCAAAATCTTCCCTCAAAAAGTTGTCCAGAGCAAAAATTTGGCAAGCAGATGGAACTTTTGACACGGCGCCGGATATTTTCACTCAAATTCTGACCATCCATGGCGAGTACAGGGGCGAGACCTTACCTTTGGCTTACGCTTTGCTACCGGACAAGCTGGAGTCTTCCTACAGGCGCGCCTTGCTCGCCATCCTGGATACCATTGAGGACTTCAGCCTGCCAGCACCGCACCCGACTACATTCATCAGTGACCTGGAGATAGGCCTGAACAACGCCATCACATCCCTCTTCCCCAACGCACAGCTCAGGCTGTGCCTGTTTCACCTGCGGCAGGCAGCATTTCGCAAGGTGCAGTCGCTGGGACTCCAGGCTGCGTACCGAGACGAGGAGGACTCCTCAGTGCGTGACAGCTTCCGGGAGATGGTCGGCCTGGCGCTCGTGCCCCCCGAGGACGTCGAGGAATGCTTCACGGAGGCGAAGAACAACTTGCCCCCCGCAATGCACGCCTTCGGGGAGTGCTTTGAAACAACGTACGTCAAGGGCCGAGTCCCGCGAGGCCGACGGAGGGCAGCCCCGCCGCGGTACACCCCCGCCCTCTGGAACCAGCACCTCGCCGCCTTGAACAACGAGCCTCGCACGAACAACGCGACTGAAGCGTGGCACAACAGATTCCAGGTCAGTACCGATCCGGGACACGCTGGACTCTGTCCCGAAGGTCCTGGAGCTGAGTCGGTTTCTTCCCCAGACAGTGGTGGGGGAGAGCCACCCCACGCTCTTCCACCTGATCGAGGAGTTCAAGAAGGAGGAGGCGGACTCGACGGTCATGATGGCGGAGCTGGACGCAGGGAAGAAGATCCGGCAGCCCCAGCGCGCCAAGTACCAGCGCATCAACCAGCGACTGCAGCGCCTGGCCGAGTCCTATGGGCAGTTCAAGGAGGAGGGCCGAGTCCTGGAGTATCTCCGCGCCTGCGGCCACAATGTTGGCCACTAAATTCTGGTAACAGTTACTAACACCCCCCCCCCATACTAAATTCATAGTGGGGACGAAATGTCACTGAGGACAAAATAAATCGGGGACGAATTTTTTGAGGACATCTTATCCGAGGACAGATTAACTGGGGACGAATTGTCGCGGGGACATATTTTCAAGGGACGAGTGTTCGTGTCACCAATCAAGACACCTCAAGGAATGTATGAGGTTAATCTCGAACCCATAACCCTAGCCCTAACATCCCAAATCAGCACTGAATGGCACAGGATAATGGGACACATTGGTGCTACAAATCTTCAAAAATTGCCAAACATGTGCAATGGCGTGGTCTTGAGAGAAGAACGAAAATACTCCAGCAACTGCAAAGTTTGTGTAAAAACAAAAATGTCAAAGCTGCCACATGATACCATCAGGACCAGGCAGCAACCTACGACACGAAAGGGTATTTCATGATTTCCTTGAGTAGTCTGTCTTCTGCAAACCAAAGCAGAGGCGTTTCAAGACTGGAAAGATTTTGTCAAACAAGCTGTCAACTTCCATGGGCTACCAGTGTACGAACTGAGGTGTGACAACGGTGAAGAGTACACCTCCAAACAATTACAAAACTGGTGTCAGCCAGAAGAAATTGTAATACAGTGCACTGTACCCGGATGCCCCGAACTGAATGGAAAGGCTGAGCGACTACATAGAACCTTAATGGGGAGACCTAGTATAGGGCATTAATTTTCGACTCAAATTGGACAAATGAGATGTGGGGTGAAGCTGTGCTGACGGCAACCTACAAAATCAACCGGAGCCCAACCCCAACCGTGTCAAGTCTGTCGGCTAACATGTGGTTTGACAAGACTCAAGGTATCTCTAATATGCATATGCATATATTCATGAAGACTTTTGCCTCAGAAGCCTTTGGCAAAGTGCTAGTGCTAACCCATTTGTCTTAACTTCAGAGTCTAACTCAAGAGGAAATCCTAGTTGGATGTGGCAACTGTTATCGTCAATGGGACAAAATGAAAAGGGAAATATTCATGGCTAGATATGTGTGTGTGTGTGTGTGCGTGTGTTAAGGGTGAAGAGTGAGATAACGCACCTTAGCAGTGCGGCAGCACAATAGGAAATAACTCCAGTCAAATTTGTACACCAAAATTCTTCAAACATCTAAAATTAATCGAAATTCGAGTGAAATTCATCAAAATTTGACAGTGATTTCGCCTTGGTGCGCACTCATAAAAGCCTACGAAGGATTTGCTTCAGAACTACGAAGAAAATGAAGGCATAGTAGAATTGCTATGTAATACGAAGAAATGCTTCGTACTACGACGGATTTGGCTTCATTGGCTGAGCGATAGCGAAACTCGTTACTCAGGTGGGGTTGACAAGTTTTGCCTGTCTGTTTGGCTGAGCGATAGCGAAGCCTGTTACTCCAGTGCGGTTGAAAAGTTTTGTCTGTCTGTGTGTCTGTCTGTCTGTGTGTACACCACTCCTCCTGAACGGCTCGGCCGATCTGCCTGCGATATTGCAGGCTTATTAGGTATGTTCTTGGCTCGGCACACGCGAAATAGGGTACTTCGGAGGAAACCTAGACCGGAAGTCAGCGACAGAACGGGAGGAACAAAAGAGCGTCGCGCGGCCGTGCTGAGCGGTGGTGGGGGCCGGAATCGGCAGAGTGGGGGTAACATGCGCGCGCCGCCTTCACCCCCACTCCGCCGATTTCGACCCCCACCACCGCTCAGCACGGCCGCGCGATGCTCTTTTGTTTCTCCTGTTCTGTCGCTGACTTCCGGTCTACGCTTTCTCCGAAGTACGAAGTACCCTATTTCACTATCCTAGCTCAACTGGTTCAGTTTTTAAAGCCGAAAAACACCTAAAAATGGCGAAAAATCGAGTTTTCTGCAGGTAGATCTCTCCTGTCTTGATGAAAGGGGGGTCTGGGGGCCGGAGCCCCCCAGCATGCAACAAGTAAGAAGTAACCGACGATGGACAAGCCAATACTTGCCGAAGGCAGGCTAGCGCCGCAGGCGAAGGAAGGTACGCCAGAAGCGGATTGGAGGAACAGGCCGCGAGACATCGCGAAGCCTGTTACGACAAGACGCGGTCTTGTGGAATTGCTATGTATTACGAAGAAATGCTTCGTATTACGACGGATTTGGCTTCATTGGCTGAGCGATAGCGAAACCCGTTACTCAGTGGGGTTGAAAAGTTTTGTCTGTCTGTGTGTGTGTGTGTGTGTGTGTGTACACCACTCCTCCTGAACGGCACGGCTGACCTGCCTGAGATATTGCAGGCTTATTAGGTATGTTCTTGGCTCGGCACACGCGAAATTTCACTATCCTAGCTCAACTGGTTCAGTTTTTATATCCAAAAAACACCTACACTGTTAAAAATTGTTGTTTTAAAACAACAACACAATTACCAACCTCGACAACGCTGTTGTTTGTGAACAAGTTTGCTTGTTTTAAAACGACGAATTCGTTGCTAATTATTTTTATGACTTATGCTGTTTCAAAACAATATTTTGCTGCGTACAAACAACCCGGACAATCTAGGAAGTGGTTACTGCGGGGTAACCGGGACTCTACTGGGTCTGTGACCTAATCGGCAATAAAAATTGATGCAAATAAGGCTGTCTACCGGTTTACAAACATCTTGTGGACGAACGACGCAACTCGTTAGTAAACAACGAAAGTCATTTGAAAGCAACTTTGCTCATTAAGAAAATTAGCAACACATATACTGCTAAATTTCAACATAATTTTTAACAGTGTAAAAAACGGCGAAAAATCGAGTTTCCTGCAAGCAGATCACCTCTGTCTTGAAGAAGGGGGGTCTGGGGGGCGGAGCCCGCCAGCCTCGACAAGTTAAAAAGTTACAAGGGTCAAGATCGTGTTATCTGTAGATGAAGCAACTCTATCTAGAATGAAGGGGGGTCTGGTAAGAAGTAACTGACGATGGACAAGCCAATGCCTGCCGAAGGCAGGCTAGCGCCGCAGGCCAAGGTAGGTACGCCAGGCGCGGATTGGAGGAACAGGCCGCGAGACATCGCGAAGCCTGTTACGACGAGACGCGGTCTGGCGTAAACCTACCTTGTAGATGTCAATCATTATTATAATATTCGTAGCAGAATGAAGGCGGTAAATTAGTTTTCGCGGGTTTGCAACACTTTTGTCGGCGTCTGCGCCCTTGCGAAAATCGCGAAGCTGAAAACACGAGCAGTCGCGCCTTAAAACTGCCCCTGCATTGTTGCTGACGTTGAATTGTTTGGCTTGTTTCAAAAGGCTACGGTTCTCTAGTCATGTTTTCTTCAATTCTGTGTAATTCGCATTCGAAGGCAAAGCTCAGCGCGCTCTATCTGCTCGTGGTGGGCGCTATTGGAACTACTCCAGAGGTCCGTGGCGACTAACCCCAACACAATTTTCACTTTCTTATTCTGCTTTGTCACTTTAAAATCACTCTCCAGTACAAATATCTAAGTCACCGGTATTGTGAGAATGCCTTTCACTTAACCCAGTTTTAGGCTTTTTGCGTTTTTTGACGCTTTCAAGTCTAGAGGTCCCATGGTGACGTCCCAGCCGACGGTGTCGCGCTCTGACGCCTTCGAATGCGAATAGTTCTCACTCACAACGTAACAACACCACGGCGGTTGGTTTGACAAACTTTACAAACTCTTGAGGGATGGTTTCGAAACGCGGGTGGGTCTTGTTCTAGGAACATAGGCACTGAAAGTCGCGAGGTGGAGCGAAGTGGTTATGGTGCTCACTGAATCAAAAGTACCATCAAACCTCGCTAAAAAGAGCGGCTACATGACCATCTTTTTCACAAAGGAACTACTAAAAGTCTTAAAGTGACTTTCAAACTACATTAAGGAAAGATAATTCACAGACGCATGGGCACAGGTACGCAGTTTAATGGCTCAAAAGGGTACTTCGGAGAAGATTCAGACCGGAAGTCAGCGCGATGACGGGAGAAACAAAAGAGCGGCGCGCGGCCGTGCTGGGCGGTAGTGGGGGCAAGAATGGGCAGAGAGGGGGTAAAGGCGGCGCGCGCACGCTGCCCCCACCATGTCCACTGATCCCCACCACCGCCTAGCACGGCCGCGCGACGCTCTTTTGTTTCTCCCGTTGTCGCTTTGACTTCCGGTCTGAATCTTCTCCGAAGTACCCTACTCACTCCAATTGAAAGAGTAACAAAAATTTTCAACAAAACAAAAACAAAAATATCAACGCAGCGGCGGGACAGTCTCATCAACAGCCATTGGCCGGGCGGCCAAACCAAATGGCCACGTTTGAAAACATCGTCGGTGCTATTGTTGCATCTTCTTTAGCTGCAGTCAAAGAGATTTTTGATGCGAACGCGCTTTTTCAGCTTTCGGGGTAAGCTGTACAGAGCCGAAAAGGAGCTCAGCTTTTGGTCGGGTCCGGCTCGGCTCCCCCCACTTCCATCCTTTTTCCTTGACGAGTCGAGTTTTGCCATGGAAACAGCGATTTTGAGAGCAAATTTCTCAAAACTGGCCATTAACTTTTTAACCACATTTCAGCATTAGAATCACCGTTCAAAGTTCTACTAGTCTGTAAAATCTTATTAAAATCCGATAGAAAATTTTCAAAATGCATAAGGGGCCACACGAATTGAATCTCGCGCTGAAAAAGAGCAAAAAGTCCAGTTACATGCTGAGAGTGTGACTTGTCGCGCTCCATGCAATTTAATGTCGGGCTCCTGAAATGACAGTGAATTATCAGTTCCAACACCCACGTCCGCCACAGCAAAGCTTTCCAGGATTTTCTCACTGGATTTTTATGAACAGTATGACATTGCATTCTGTCACGCTTTATTGTACCAACTGTTAAGCGTTTCAACAAGGGACCGTTCCCCCGGATTGCTTTTTTGGGGCTATGTCGCTAGAAGGCATGACCTGAGGGTCAGGGGGCTATGGATGGTCGGTAGCGGGCATCGGAGGGAAAAGTCGCGATTATGCGGAAAAAAAGGGAAATGTCCTCTAGCGGGCAGCCGGTGGTCAGGGATCCTTAACTTAACTTAACATTTAACTAACACTTCTTTCATAACGTAACATAAGACAATGTTCGCTAAAGGTTAAGGGTACGGACTTCTGAAAGTACTTGCAAAAGTATATCCACACAAATTCGAGACATAAAAAAAATAACCTACCCTTTTGAAAAGATGTTAGAAGTTAGGGGTAATAACTTTAACTCATATCATAACGTTATGATGCCCTTATGAGGTAAGTTAAGGATCCCTGCCGGTGGTGTGGCCTACCTCTTAGGCGCTACACCGGCAGACCGGCTTCACTCACTGGAGTCGTGCCTGCGTCGAGCTGCACCTCATTGCAAGCCACACGCACCATCCCGCCCCGGCACCCAGCCCCTATTATATTGTTAGGATACGCGCTTGGTTTCTGGACTCGAGAGCAAAAGCACGCTGACACCTTCGTGTGTAAAGTAGTTTTAAGTATGTTTCAAGTCTGAAGGTGTCATCTGCTAAAAGGGCAGGGAGAACAGAATGATATGGAGGTGAACCGCAAAGTCATCAGAAAAAAAAACTCACCTCCATATCATACTGTCCTCCCGGCCTTTTTTTCTTCGTGTATGGGTTCCCCTAACAGAAAATCGCTCTGATTCTTCCTACCGAAAACTACTGTCAAATCCATGTTACTGCACTGGCTGACCACTGGTGCTGCACGACTCCAGTGAAGCCGGTCTGCCGGTGTAGCGCCTAAGAGGTAGGCCACACCACCGGCTGCCCGCTAGAGGACATTTCTCTTTTCTTCCCGCATAATCGCGACTTTTCCCTCCGATGCCCGCTACCGACCATCCATTGCCCCCTGACCCTCAGGTCATGCCTTCTAGCGACCGTCTCGAGTGCAAGTGTGCAAACACGGATAGTTGTTTAAGTGTCCGTTTTGCCCTCACATTTGACTTAACTCTTCGCACCTGGTAATTAGTCAGAATTACACAACTCGTCATAACCTTTCTTCGAACACATCTGTTGTCGATTTTTAAAGTCAACACGATATAGCCGACTCATCAACCTGCCGCCCAAGCTGCACTTTCTAAAGGAACGTCTTTTGCGCCTTTAGATAGAGCGACTCCGCGATCCTCATCAGTGTCCCGAGCTCGCAGCACCAGCAAGCAACCTCCTCCACCATGTCCAAGATCGCCATCGTCGTCGTGCTGGCCGTGGCCGCCTGCCTCATTGTAAGTCTGCTGCAGTGAAAGTTTGCACGCGCTGAATGTTTTGGTACAAATTTTGTACGGGACATACCAGTTTTTGGTGCACAAGAAATTTCCGTACAAATTTTTACGCGATTTTGCACAAAAATAGGGAAATGGGTGCTGTTTTCGTAGTAAATTTGTCCGAAATGTCCGTGTGCACAGAAGAAACGCGATGTCTCGTACAAAATCGTACCTAACATTTAGCGTGCGGTCAGTTTCATTTTAATCCGCAAACGGATTTGTGGTCACTGGCCGTAGTCATGGGTGGATTTGCGGATATAACCCTGTTAAACCTGTCATGTTTAGAAACTTGTGTAACCAAATACCAAAATAAGGGTTGGCCCCCGAAAAGATTCCTTACTGCGATGAGAAAATGTAACGCGCATCTGTTTCCCCCGCAGCCCGATGCCATGTCCGCCTGCAGCTCCAGGCAGCTCAACGACCTGGAGAACCAGCTCAAGATCTGCAGCAAGGGCATTCCGGTCCAGATGGGTGACGCTTCCTGGCGCTGGGCCCGTGAAACGATCAGCAGCATGAAGAAAGATGCCACTTGCGACCTTAACAACGCTCCCACCTACTTCCAGTCCGAGTTGCGCAGCGTCCCCTACATCGGCCAGAAGTACATTGACCGCGCTGTGACCTGCATCACCAACTCTATCCAATACGGCATTTGTTGTTAAGGAAAACGGACGAAGAACGGACAATAAAGATCAACGTCCACAGCATTCAATGGTCATGAAAAAAATGACTCTTCCCAAAACTGTCATCACAGATGTTACTTACACGTGAGATGCAGCCAAACAGGCTGTTTGTTCACACGATAACACCACAAATCATGTTGCCAGAACGGTGTCGAAATCAAATGGTTTCAAATTGCATCAAGGACTGCTCTCTATCTTACTATTCAAAGAATATTCTCTTCGAACTCGATTAGGAGCCTGAATATTCATTGCAAAAGAATTCGATTTCTTTAAAAGCGGCTTGCAAGACTGCACTCAAACTCAGACTGTCAGACAACACCGTTTTCTGAATACCTATAGATTTTGAAACGGGGGGGGGGGGGGGGGCAGTCAGTGGTGGAAGGCGTCGAATTAACAGCTTGCATAATATCCTAAATACTACCCAGTCGGAAATCCATCGGCGATTGCATGACTTGAGCTTGCCACTTGGTGCTCTAAATCAGAAAGCGTCACCCGAGTCAAGTCGCCGGGCAGTTCAAGCCCATGTGGACCTCTTGAACGCACACACACATTGAGCCTTCGTCCTACACTGTAAATGTCTTACGGTGAAAGGCTGCACCAACATCTTATAGTGGAGATTTTCTCCATAATACCAACGAAATTCGGCAAAATATCTATAAGGTACAGTGAATTCTCAATGGTATGTTACGAAGTAATCTGCACCACTATAATATGGAACATTTTTACCGTGATATGGAGAATCTTCACTGTACAACGTTTATATTGTACCCTATACCTGAAAGCGCAACGACACTGTCACCGCGAGCGGCGCGACGTCAAACGACCACAACGCCATCTGGCAGCACAGTGTGGAAGCCGTCGACACGGCAGGCAACGTCAAAATAATGGCGAACCCACATTGAAATCATTTTGGTTCACTTTCTGTGCTCCATTTTTTTCCACTGAAATATCGTGGGACAGCAAAATTGGGAAACAGTTGAGGTGGGCGTCTTTGCGAATGTCGATACAAGGCTGATCAAAAGTCATCTGGCCAACCCACCGGCCATGTGTTCACCTGGCAATGGAGCCATTCAAGGCTTCCGTATCGACATCCACATGGAGGATTACTTTGCAGAAGACTCTCTTAGCGATGGTATCAGATCTTTAGTGATACCTTATGACCGTCAGTTCCTCAAAAGTCATCTGGCTGAGATTTCGACCTCATATCGAGTCGACCAAGTGGCGGCGTATCGTCGTCGAAGGATGCGACGCCTTGCATCACTGACAGCATGTGTTTCAAATGAACTTAGAGACAGTTATTTTGTTGGTAAGAATGTTCATATTTCAAACTTCATTGAATAAAAACAGAAGAGGCATTGCAGTCGATTGAGACTCTAACCTGCCACTCACCGGTCAAGCGTTACGTTACGCTAATGCGTGCTTGTAATCAAACAGAGTCGGAAACTTGAATGAATTTTGAAATCTTTGGGGAGGGAGGGGAGGGGGTCAAAAAGTGGCCGAAACTGCGAAGCGTAGTGAGGTCTTCCACCTGCAAGAAGAAAGGGAGTTCTCCAACATAGCCGCCACTTACGTACAACAACCCTTCTCATGTCCTGGGAATTCTTCAGCTTAGTAGATTGGCTCCCACGTAGAAAGCAACCGAAAACAAGTGAGGATTAAAAATGTTCTTGAGGCGGCCATCTTGGACACCCTCATCCCAGGAACGTGAAATCACGTTGAAACGGAAGTGACAAAATGTCACGTTCGTTTCAGCTATGTGTCACATTCGTATGGGTGTGGATTGGCCAAAAATCAGCGTGTTCACATTCAAACGAACGTGACACAATGCTCTTGCGAACGTGACATTTTGTCACGTTCGTTTCAACGTGACGTCACGTTCCTGGAATGAGAGTGGAGGTTCCACTTTTCTTCTTGCATGTGGAATGACCCATTAGCGAACGGCCCCCTTAGCAGTACGATCCTTGAATGTGCTCTGACTGTTAAGAGAATCGAGAACCGCAGCGTTACGCATGGACAGACACTGCCCCCCCCCCCCCCCCCCCCCTAACGTGAATCCGCGACACGCTGTCGCTGCGCTGCAGACCTCTCCCTCCACTCGCCCCCACTCCCCCTTCCCCCTTCCCCTTACACCCTCACAGAGTGCTACGTCCTGGAGTTTCGCATTCCTCATCTTCGCCATTGCTCTTGCTCCTTGTCTTTCGAAGTACGAGTTCCCAAGGCAGGAAGGCGAGACCGCCCGACCGCGGCCAAAGCCGTCAATTGACATCTCGACTTGTAAGTATCCTAACTGGTACACTTCACAATCCTTTCACATTAATGTCAGGTATTTCAAAATAACTTGTTTTAACAATTTATTTGTTGTTTTAGCTTCTAACAGAATAGTTCGTAATTTACGCACTATTTCTTCGTAATACAAAGTAAATAGTAGTGTTCTTGTATGTGCTCTAAATACTTCGGTAAGCTTTAAGCGTGGCTTTTAAGCACGTTACGCAGTTTTGGAGACTTTTTGAATCCGTTGTCCCCACTGTGTAACGCGGCGTTACGCTGGGCCAGACCCCTTTCACTGCGTAACGTGACGCAACATTCCGCATGTATCCTTGATGTTGTTGCCCCCATGTACAGCTTGTATGTGCTAATGATTTTATCGTAACGTTACGCGGTGCCGGACCCTCCGGGACCTTACTGTCCGTCCGTCCGGACCACTCCTCCTGAACGGGTCGGCCGATCTGGCTGAGATTTAGAAAAGTCACTGGGTACGTTCTTGGCTCGCCGCACGTCTAAATTCAGCGTTTTAAATCAATCCATTTAGTCTCATAAATCAAGTATCACTGAAAAATCGGCAGATAAAGAGAATTCTTATAAGATTTTCAACTTCCATGAAGTTTAACGCCGTTTCATATGTTTCCGAGGGTGCTGATGGCGTAATTTCTGACCCCCGATTAGAATTGACCCTTTCAGTCATCGCAGTGTAAAGAAAAAAAGTTACTTCAAACTCTGGAAGCAGCAGCGCACCATCTAGCGTAGGTTACTGTAAACTGTCAAAAGCGGAACCCTGATTGGTCTCACGGAGCAGAATGGCTCCGTGTTGGTCTCAAGCGTAGGTTTAGACGAAGTTCAGAACAGTCGCCGCTAGGTGGCGCGCAACTTGTTCCTGCCTTTTGATTACTTTTGTTCTTCACACGGCGACTACTGAAAGGGTCTACTCTAATCCCGGTAGGGTAGATCAAGGTAGGTGCCAGGCGTGAAAATTGGCGCAGCATTGCCAAGCCTGGTACGTCAAGATACGGTCTGGCGCACACCTACCTTGTTAGTTTCGACTCATAGATGCGTACCTTAACTTCAAGTCGTCTCCCAGATCTTCCTGACGAGTGAAAAGCTTCGTAGGCTTCTGGATTCCGTCACACAAACCATTTGGACTTCAGGATAATGTAGCGTTGCCATTTTGTATCCTGACAGGGTAAACAGCCATCGACAGCCACATTCTCTGCACGTTACTGACTCTTTGCTTATTTTGTCAGTACTGATGCAAGCAAGTTGTGCAACCGTAATACGTACTTCTCCTTTCTGAAATAACTACATATACTTTTTCCAAGGGAGTTAAGGGGGGACCCTGGTGAAACTTTCAAGTAGGCTTCAAAATAATCCCAGAAAGTTGAAACTTCGCTTAATTATCAGGTTCATTATGGTGCACTGTAAAAAAAATTCTGAAATTTCAGTACAATTTGTTCAGACTTTGCAGTCTGAATCGGTAATTCAGAAAATTGCTTTGAATTTTCAGACTAGGAACTCTGAAATTTGAGATCACACCGGTTAGTCTGAATTTTAAGCAAAAGGTCTGAAAATTCTGATAAAGTTTTCAGACTTGTCATCCTGAAACCTGTTTTCATAATTTTGGTATGAAAATTTTGACAGATTGTCTACTAATCAAGTCTAGGCGTAAGGCGTTGTATCAATTTATCGGAAATAATAATGTACACCCGCGCTTCACGCAGATTTGTCTGTGTACGGTAGATTAACCGTAAGAGTTGTCCGAACTTGCACTCTGGACTTGCCGAAAGGAGCTGGTATCTTCTGAAGAGAGTCACGCGGCACGGCTTCCCCCGCCGCCAGGCAGCGCCCGTAGCGCAGTGGTACCGAGCTCGTCTCGTAACCAAAAAGTCCCGGTTCGAACCCGGGCCGAAGCGAACAAGTGTAAAGTGGAAAGAAGGTACCGTCACACGTTGGTGGTTCAAATTGTTCTCTTGTTGATTTCTCTCTCTTTGATTTATAGATGGCACTTTTATTTAATATTTCAGAGTAGCAGTCTGAAAATGTTGTTCAGACAAGTAGTCTAAATTTGGAATTCAGACAGAATGGTCTGAATAATTACTCTGAATTTTCAGACCACTAGTCTGTTTAAAAACTTCAGACTAAAATTATGAAATTTCAGTAATATTTTTTTACAGTGTGAGTTCCCAAAACAAAATTCAATCCAAAATGTTGAACGGTCTCTGAGAAAAGTGGCTTTTTAGTGTTTTTTAGTTTTAGAGCGTTGGGGAAAAACCTTCCTGCGTCTTTCAGTGGGACGGAAAGTCTTGAAAATTTTTTTGGGTTATCCTAAAGATGTATTGAAGAGATTTTAGTGACGGAATTTTCAAATTCAACTTCTGTCCTGAGATATGAGTTTTCAAATTTTAACATTAAATAACAGGAAAAGTAGCGATATACATCGGCAACTTTGGCCCGTCCCGTACATTTAGAAATGTGTGAATTTCGCTAATGTTTAACCCTAACGGGATTTGAACCTCAGTGTAGGGTCCAAATTTACGTTATTTTCGTCATCAGCACCTTCAAAAACATCAGAAACAATGCAAAAACTCGAGTAAAAAGAATGTTGAAAATATACCCCACTGGGATTTGAACCCGGGTCCAAACTTCTCCAATTCACTTTTGAAACTGGCACCGTTGGTTTTTTCTCGTCGCCCTGATTCCAAAAATACCCCTACATGTCCTGCTAGCTGTATCCGTTGCCGAAATCCCCTTCGACCCCATGTAGACCATGATGCACCTGCAGCAGCGCCCCCGGGGCTCGGATCGGATTTGCTGCCACCGGGCGGTTCTTAGGGTCACCTAAGGAGGCTGCATACCAAATTTGGTCAAGATCGGACCACGGGAAGTCCTCGGACGAACGGACGGACGGACGGACGGACGGACGGACGGACGGACGCACAGCAGGGATCATACTATATGCCCGTCCCTCCGTCATTTTTTTACAAAAAATAAACGGGACGGGCCAAAAACAAGTGATTTTTTTCCCTTTTTTCAAACTTTTAGGTGTGTTTTAAAAAAAGTAGGGCTGATATCAAGATTCCGTCACTAAAATTTGTCGACAAGTCATCAATGAATAGAGTCCATGCAATACGACTCATGTAGGTGTCAACCAGGAACGCAGGAAGTCTTTCGACGACAAAATTTTTTGTCGACTGAGCAAAGCTGTGAAGTCGAGCGTAGAAGCCAACGACAACTGATCTCAATGTTATTTCCGTCCAAATGATAAAGAAACTATCCACTTAGCTTAAAGGTGTTCAACCTGTTGAATCTGAAAGCTTCTATGCACATATTTATCTATAAACTTTAAAAATACCATTTTTGGTAATTTTGGCGATTTTTTCACCAGGGTCCCCCCTTAATCATACTCACTTATAAAATACTAAGTACTATGTTGCTCATACGCATACGTAATCATTGAGAAAAATGTCAGTAACGTGCTGAGAGTGTACAAACTACAACCTGAGAGGCTTGAACAGTCTCTCACGCTCTTTAGGGCCGAAATGAAGTGATGCTTTTGAAAGGGCGGATCAATTATGCTTGGAAGCTTTATATCACGATGTAGAAACGTGCCTACTCCAATGCACACCTTTCCGTAGGACACAAAACTATTCAAGTTTGAGAGGTGTAAATCGTACACGTCTTTGAAGGGCATAGGTTTGACACGTTATTCTACCGGTGTCATGACATGCAGTGGGAAGGATTTCTACGAGTACCACGTGGGAAGCATCTGAAAAACTGTGTCTGTTGCAGCGTGATGGACTGCGACGTCTGTCTGGAGTCTTTCAACGACAAGGACCGCCGCCCCAAATGCCTCCCCTGCGGCCACACTTTCTGCTTGCGCTGTGTGACGCAGCAGAAGGACAAGAAGTGCCCCATAGACCGAAAGGTTCGTCTCACGCTGGTGTCCAATGTGTCGATTGCAGCTGAACTTCTTTCCGGAAGCGGGTTTGATCATTATTTCGGTTTTGTTAATTTTCTTATTCGAACTTATAGTCACTCTACCATTCATTTGTTCAGTTTTTGTTCTCCCCACAAAAGCCTTTCGTTTCTCCTGAAAAATGACCAAAATGTCATTGTCTCCTTCCCTGTTCTGACCTAATATGTCATCCCTCTTAATTCTTGATTACAGGCCTATCGCCCCGTGGCTAGCAACCTTCCGGACAACTTCAAGATCATTGAATTGGCTCAAAGGTAAACTCCATCGGATTCTCAGCCATGCATTGCCTTTGTACATCGAGAGTGAAAAAGTCTTCATCAGTACCCAATTTTTTGGCGAGGTGTACTTCGTCACCCGAATTTGGGTGTGGATTATTTTCTCGTGAGGAAGGTTTCTTCGCCCATTTTATGGTGGTTCTCCACCTAACCTTAATTTGGGCGATAAAATGATTCTCACCCAAATGTGGGCAGTAAAGAATACCTCGCCCAAAATTTGAATCGTGATTGATTTTGACTCTTTCATTCGCAGTGTAAGTGTGTGCTTGTCCAAGCATGCCCTTGTAATTGAGTAAACTGCAAGAAAAAACCACAACAAAAGTACACAAATTTTTGGCAAAATTTTCTTCAGGAATTGATTGTACTGTCAAAGCTAAACAATCGTTGTACCAAGTACAATGGAACCGGCCTGGCGGGTGCTGGGCAGTCCAGGCCTCGTTGTGGTTTGTACAATTCTCGTTGCGCTTTTATTGTACAGTTTTTGTTATATTATTCACACTTTTTCTTGCAGTGTATCAGGTCTAGCATGCATTTGTCTGTAAGCATTCGCAACCAAGGGGAAATAACCTTAGCCAAATTTGCACAACGAAATTCATCAAACTCACTGAAATTCATTAAAATTCATCGAAATTTGACTGAAATTCGTCAAATTTTGACTTAATTCATCGAAATTTGACTGAAATTCGTCAAATTTTGACTTAATTCATCGAAATTTGACTGAAATTCGTCAAATTTTGACTTAATTCATCGAAATTTGACTGAAAATCTTTGGATTTGTTCACCGAAATTCTTAGTGATTTCCCCTTGCTCGCAACACTCTAAGTCGAAATTTGCCCCTAGGCCGTCCTCGGTGTGCGGCTGGTGCCGCAGCTGCGATGCCGAGGCCTCGGAGGGCTGCCTGGACGCGCACCCCAGCGCCATGTGCAGCCTGAAGCGCGCGCGCCTGGAGGACGTGGAGCCGCGCCTGGAGGCGCTGGCCAGGGGCGACGAGGCGCTGGCGCAGCTGGGGGACATGATGAACGCGGCGGCCTGCGACGTCCAGACGCAGGTGGGTGCATGTCAACACTGGAAACCAACGAATGCGACGTCATTTTCGTTCGAATGTGAATTTTGTGAATTTTGAATGTTGATCAACATTCAAACGAATGTGACACCCTACTTAAACGGCCGAGTCTCGTTCAAACGTATGTGACATCATATTCAAACGAACGTGACAAAATTCACACTTCAACGACTATGACGTCACATTCGTTGGCTACCAGTGGAACATCTTGCCTTCAACACTTCGCCCTTCGTGAACACTGTTTTTCAAGTTGGGACAATTTCACTTGTGAAACTCAGGGGTATGTAGTATTACCCTCGCAGTATTATGTAGTACTACTGTGTACTGCTATGTAGTATTGACGTAGCAGAGCTAGTTAAGGGGAGGTTCTGGTGAAAATGCTATTTTCTCCTAAATTGGTCCCACTGTGAAAATAAGTTAAAAATTTGATGTCTTACCAAGTAATTAATAAAAATTTTCATTGGGACTCACATTCTATGCCCTGAACCCAGTCGAAGAGTCTTTTTGAGCCTATTTTGGCTGTAACTTTAAAAACCTTCTTGCGCATACTATTTTGTCGTAAAAGGTTGGCCTTGACATTTTTCACTTCTTCGATTCATTTTTAAAAAATGCCGGCATGCACAACTCAAAATGTAAATAACATTTTCATTCGCAAGCTTTCTAACCAAGCATTTCACTATAGTTGATCAAAAATGTAGAAAATAGACAAATTTTAGGGACTTTTCAGCTTAAAAAGCTTACAGTTAATAATATAATGGAAATTTTGAGCTATGCATGCCGGAATTTTTTGAAAATGAATCGAAGAAGTGAAAAATGTCAAGGTCAACCTTTTACGACAAAACAGTATGCGCAAGGAGATTTTTTAAGATACAGCCAAAATAGGCTCAGAAAGACTCTTTGACTGGGTTCAGAGCCTGGGATGTGCCTTCAAAAATCAAATTTTAGTCTCCTCGAAGAAAGATTTTACATTCCGAACAAATTATGACACTGGGATCCATTTGGGAAATAGCCAGATTTTCATCAGAACCTCCCCTTAAAGTTTCAGAAAGTGTATGCTTGAAATCAAACGTAGTCAGTTTACGCTTGAAATCAAGCATAGTCAGTTTACGCTTGAAATCAAGCATAGTCAGTTTATGCTTGAAATCAGGCATAGTCAGTTCACGCTTGAAATCAAGCATAGTCAGTTAACGCTTGAAATCAAGCATAGTCAGTTTACGCTTGAAATCAAGCGTAGTCAGTTTACGCTTGAAATCATGCATTGTCAGTTTTCGCCTGAAATCATGCGTAGTCAGTTTATGCTTGAAATCAAGCGTCATCAGTTTATGCTTGAGATCAAGCGATATTGGCACATCCGCCGAAATTCCCCCTACCTAAATGCTGGGGTGAATTTCTAGTCTATGCTCCTTTTTCTAAAGCGTAATATCTTCAAAAGCAACTTATGTTTGACTAGAGCATGGTGTAGAGTTCCGAAAATTTTTGCTACCGTATTGTTTTTTGGTTCCTCCGTTCTGCATTCTTTTTTATTTCAACGGCCTCCTTTTTATATTCTCTGGACTCAAGTCTGAATCACCTTAACTGTATTTGTCGGTTTTCGGCTATTGTCAGGGCATTGCCCCTAGGGCTCTTCGAGCGTACTCGGTACACTTCTGAAGAAGTCAAAAGTTTGTTTCGAAGTCGGAGCTGAAGATAACACTGTTACTCAAACTGCGATAACCACTGTCTATATTTTGCAGTAAAAAAATTATCACATTTTTTTTGCTATGATGACAAATAAAAACCTGCAATAAAAAATTTATAGCCAAATTTCGCAATAAAGTATCACCATTTTGCAATAATGACTATAAAAAAAATGCAATTAAAAGTTATTGCTGAAAAAAATGTGATAAAAGTTACTACCAAACGCTCTTTTATCGCAAAAATTATAGGGTGGTTATTGCAAAATAATTGCAATAACAAGATTATCGCACTCCAGGGTGCGATCAATCGTGAGAATCGCAAAGTCGGTTTTGACTCTTAAAAGCCTACGAAGCATTTGCTTCATAACTACGAAGAAAATGGAGGCTTTGTAGAATTGCTTCGTATTTCAAAGGATTTTGCTTCATAATACGAAGCATTTCTTCATAGATTTTACTATGCCTTCATTTTCTTCGTATTACGAAGCGATTCTTCTTAGAGTTTTTACTGTGTTATCGCAAAAATTTGTAGTAAAAGTATTGCAAAATGAATGACAGTGAACTTGTTGCTGCTAAGCACTTCTGCTGGCTTCTTAAAGTGTGTACGTGCGTGCTGCAGGTGCAGGAGTGCTTCGGCCAGGTGGAGCGGGAGCGCTTGGTGCTGGCTGCGGACAAGGGGCGCCAGGAAGCGGCTCTGGCCTCCGATCCAGCCACCTGGGTCATGGCGCGCGCGCGGACCAGGCGCCAGTCCGAGAAGGTGAGCCTCCTCTGTCGGTCTGCTCCTTCGTGCTTTCGTCTACTCGTTCTGCTTGTTCTTGTGTTGTTGTTATTTTTGTTCAGTCTCGTATTGACTTATTATCTCTTGCTACAAAGTTTTTTGTGCAAACGTAATATGTACTATTTCCTCTTTAGCTATTCACTATGTTGTTCATTGTATAGTGTATTTAGTCCATTCAGCCTTACTTTTTGTCATTTGCAATCAGTTTCTCCATGATGTTACGGCAATTTGATCCTTAAAATGATCTAAATTAAAGAAAAAATAGCACATATTACGTTTGCTCAAAAAACTGAATAATCAAGAGAGAACAAAATCCATACAGGTCTGACAGTGTTATTTTGTTCTTTTCGTCTGCTCGTTTCTCCTCCGTCGTCTGTTTGTCTGCTTGTTTGTCCTTTTTCCTCACGGTAAAAACGGTACCTGGTTTTTCCAGGAAGCCAATGGTAGAGGCATAGGCGATTTCCAGGGAGTTCCTGGGAAAACCAGGAACCGTTTTTACCGTGCTCCTCGTTGTCTATTTCTTCGGTTTTTTGTCTGCTTGTTGGTCTCCTTCTGCTCGTTCGTCCGTCAAGTGTTTTCATTTCAATTTCTTTGAACCGTCTCTGTTTCGGACCTGCCTTCTCCAACAGAGCGATACGGTCCGAGTCAAGCTGGAGCCGACTGAGCACTTGGAGCCGACGGAACAGCCAGCGGTCCAGAAACCTCACCTCTTGCACGATCACGGTACGTGTCAGGCAGACGCACCGAGTACAGCCAGAACAATTTGAACTGTTAAAGCAATTTGTTTTGAATTCTAAGGCACCTTAGGCGCTGCTGAGCCGATTGAGGGCAGGTTTCTTAACGGTTTGTCCACCCCGAGGCTAGGAAACAAAGGTGCCTAGAAACTGGGCGACGTTTGGCACCCTAAAAAGTGGGGCGGGCGACAAAGTTCAGAGTGTAGTGACGTACACTGTTATGCGCACCTTACGTGCATGTCTGTATTTGCACAATTATGCCTTAACGGTGCATAATTATGCCTTGAAAGAGTAAAGTGTGTTAACTGAGAAAACCTTACAAACTATTTTGGGCCCTACAAAGAAAAGTAGTTTGTATAACGAAGTATATTGAGCATACATAAGCTTACAAAGAAAATTCTTCGTAATTTACGAACTATTTCTTCGTATAGCAAAGTATTTTATTTTGTTATATGTATGCTCAAAATACTTCGTAAGGTTTTAAGTGTGTTCCCCTCGCAGCCCTGGCGCGCGGGGCCGTGCAGCTGCTGGCCGACCTGGCCGACCCCACGGCGTCGTGCGTGGTGACGGTGGTGCGGGGCGGCGCGCTGCAGAGCCAGGTGCTGTGGCGCGGCACGGTGCGGCCCGAGGAGGACGCCGCCTCGCGCCTGCTGCTGTCGCGCATGCTGTGCGAGGAGACGCTGCGCCGCGAGCTGCCCCTGCCCTCGCTGCAGGTCAAGGCGGAAGGTGGGTGCACTGGCAGTCTGGAGGACATTTTGTACTTTTCGAGGGGTCCTATTCAAAAGATCTCATCTGGCTGTTCCCCCCAAGAGAATCTTATCTTAAACGCATGCAAATTTCACCCATTTTGATCATATGGGACGGATACGAGAAAGCATATTATATTTCTACATGCACTGTTGGTTTCTTTGATGTGTCATCTACAGATTCAAGTGCATTTAATCACAAATTATATTCATTTCTAGCTGCATGAAATGATCAAAGTAAGTGAAATTTGCCTGCGTTCAAGATAAGATTCTCTTGTGGGGAACGCACAGATAAGATGTTTTGAGTAGGATCCCTCGTTTCATTGCCTGTGACTTTAGGCCTTCTGAAAGCCGTACGTAGTAAAGAAGCTTCATATAAAAATGCATTTTGAGCTTACTTCAGCTCTAAAAGAAAGTGGCTCATAAATAAAACTTCGTTTCACAAACCCTGTCAGTTAGTATGCTCAAAATACTTAAAAGAGTTTTAAGCGTGTGCCATATTCGTGCGTATGTGAGCATGTACTTACTCTTTCATACTTAAAGTAGGGACAATATTTCTTTTTTCGTGTACAACTTTGCGTGTTCAAATCACAAAAGTCTCGCCATCTCGTTGCGAGACTTTTGATTCGACCATTTTGAGTCAAGATTGGTCAAGACTTTGTTGTCTGACCAAATTTTTGCGAGACTTTCAGCCTGAAAGTTTCAGGTCTGATCAAAACTTGGCCAGACTCAATTATACCTACCCTCTGGAGTGGCGAGAAGTCGGACCTTCGGATTTGTAGTGATGTGAAGTCCCAACGGAGAGCTCTGCAAGGTCCTACGAAGATTGAGAGGGCTACGAAGAAAAGCACTAAAAATTCACAGAATTGGGCGTAGCTTTTTCCTACAGTGCGCCGTGGATGGCGGCCCCTCTGCCTCTGGCGGCGTGGGCTGAGCGCAGCAACGAGACGACGGTGACGGACCTGGAGATGCAGCTGGCCATGAAGGTGGGCTCGCGCGTGGTGCGCGGCACGGACTGGGACCCGCGCTGGAAGGACGACGGTGAGCCGCCGGGGGAGGGCACCATCGTGGCCATGGACAGCGCGAGCAGCGGCTACTTCGTCATCTGGGACAGCAGCCCGAACCAGCGCCGCAGGTGAGTGCAAGGGGTTACCCACTCTGGTAATCGTGTGTACACTTCGTCCTGTAATCATTGGTAATCACCCACCAAAACTGGCTAGTTTCGCCGTTTTTATCGGAATTTGGGTTTTTTTTTCTTATGAAATTAGGCCAAAATGCTCTTAGCTGGCCTAAACTATGGAGTTTTTTTAAGTATGTCTGTAAGTAATCACTGGTAATAGTAATCCTGTGTACACTCCTGAGCTGAGTGGTCAACCCCTTGGGTGAGTGTCCAATCTCTGGGAGAATACGAATACACGGTAAAACTAGTTAGGAATATTCATTCCAAGGGCTTCGCCTTCTAAATCGTCTTCATGACGCCAGCGTCGGAACACTGTTAAAAAAAATATGAAAATTCAGACTGATTTCGTCTTACTTGGTGGTCTGAATCGTAAATTCATAAAATGGTACGAATATTAAGACCAACTGTCTGAAAAGTTTGACCTGTTGTCTGAAATTTGAATTTAGACTAGCAAGTCTGAATATTTAGAGCGATGGCTATCAAGTTTTGTACATTGTCGTCCGAAAACTAAATTCATACTTGTGAAATCGAAAAACGAGTGAAAAAACCCCGTCCCCTTTGTACATTTTTCGATTTTCTCAGAACTTTTATCAATACTACTGTTGTATTTCAAATAATATTTACGTTTAGTGTCGTAAAAGCATAGAGAATGTTTCAGAGCTCCGAAATGGACACTTATTGCTCTATCCGCTAGGTGGCGCTAGTGTCGCATGGATGATCTCTTGGAGCTAAAATTGCCACTTGAAGGCGAAATTGCGAATATTTTGTTACAAACTTATTCCAAGTGATTGTCTGAAAGGGCATGAGCGCACCAAAGCAAGATTCAGGTTAATAAGTGCAGTATAAGCTAAATAACAAAGAATACAATTTCACTCTCGCGCATGGCCACGGGTCGGCGCGTGGTTGGGCTAAGGCCGCTCTCCCTCGCATTTCAGCAGTCACCTCTAGCCTCTTCACTTCCTTTGCAAGTAGGAGTCTACTGCCGTGTACCTAATTTTTGAGTCAAGACGATCCGCTGAGCGTCTACGATAAACCGATGGCAAAAGTTCGCCGATTCGTGTTCTACTCTACAGAGTGTCATTTTTTAGTGCGACTGTTCAATGTCTTCGTACAACTTAGTCTGATAAAATAGACCGACTGGTATCATTTTTCATACAACATGTTGATCTGAAAATTCAGACTAACGTCGTCTGAAACTTTCAGACCGCGAAGTATGAAAGTTTTGGTATGAAAATTCAGACTGAATGTAAGTAAATCGACTTCTTACAAAAAATTATGAATTTTCAGTAAATTTTTTTAACAGTGACATTCAATTCAATTCATTGGTTCTATTTGTTGTTCTTTCGAATTGTTTGGTCCACCCGACATTGGTCATCCTTTCCTTTCAAATGCACCCGACATTAATACTTTATGAAACCAGGTTGACCAACATTTCGTATGAACTCCGAACCGTTTCTACGCCTTTCAAAGCAGCTTTTACGTACAGAACATTTTAGAAAAAGCAGACACAACTTTCTGAGTGTTCATACAGTTTCATTTATTTGCACTTTCTCGATTATTGCTGACAAATGTTTTTGCGACATCACAAGAAAAGTTGCCTATCCTGCCACGGGATCCCGTCATCCCGACTCGCAAACCCCGCTGTCCGCACTGGGTGTCGCTCCATATGGCTCCGCCATTTTATTTTATTTAATTTTTAGTTTGTTGGGCGAAGCCAACCAACGTCCAGGTTTCCGAGGCGGAATAATACCCTGTTTTTCCAGGGGGCGCCGCGCCTGGGAATCTCGGATGTTGTTTTTGCCGTGTAGGGAAAGGGGTCTTTCATGCTCAGTTTCTCACGACCGTTTTCACATGTATTACAATGCTTTGTCTTCGTAAGTTACGCTTAAATTTGTACTTACATAATATGCACACTTGTCCACGTAAGGTATTCATAATTTCATCGTACTACGCATGTTTTTTGCGCGAAAGGTACGCCCGAGATGAAACGCCCATCGGAGAATTGCCGGGTGCCACCCGGGTACTCCCCGGGAACTACCGCGGAACACCCGGGGAACACCCGGGGAACACCCGTGGAGCACCCGGGGAACACCCGGGGAACACCCGGGGAACACCCGGGGAACACCCGGGGAACACCCGGGGAACACCCGGGGAACACCCGGGGAACTCCCGGAGAACACCCGGGGAACGCCCGGGGAACTCCCGGGGAACTCCCGGAGAACACCCGGGGAACTCCTGGAGAACACCCGGGGAACGCCCGGGGACCTCCCGGGGAAGTAAATTTTCGCCGAAAAACCACCGGGGAACCGCCTTAAGCTGCGGAAATGGCCACGGCAGCGCACCATACCGATTCTTGGTGATGCGGACGGGTGCGGACTTTGGAGAAGGGCTGGAGTGCTGACGTGCGGTGGCGGTCGAGAATGATGCCTTTCCCTAGACTCCGACGAAGTCCCGACCCATAGGCCCCGACCCGACGCCGCCCCCCCCTTTTCCCCAGGAACCCGGCAAAGCCTTGGCCAAGCCCCGACTGAGTCCACCCAAGTCCGGCCACGGTGTAAGAGTGCGCCACCCGAGGAGTGGTCTCCCTACACCGTAAGTCCGGTCATCGTCATCGGCGCTGTTAGGCCTCAGCAGACCTTTAGCGTTCGAGTAAGCAACTACAACAAACACAGAACTCAGACTGCAAACCTCAAATGCAGGCTGTGTCTTGTCTGAGGCAGCCACCCTCTACTGGGGGGGTATGGGGCAACCTCCGTGGAAGTATGACCCATCCCAGGTTGAGGAAAGTGAGGTTCGTTGCCTTTGGACCCTTGAGTGTTGTGGAGACAGTGGAGGATGCATTGCGGTGTAGCATGGCGCCAGTCCTGCTCCTCACGTAGTTGTCGAACCTCTTCATTGCGGGACGGCGCCGCAGATGCGACGAACTGCACTGAGGCGGGGCTGCTGAAGCTGATGAAGCGGCGCCGTTGTCCACGAGTCTCTTTCAGAGGAAGTATCCCTCCAGCCGGCGGCCCCGCACGACTCCGCGTCCCGTTGACGTTGGCCCAGGAGGTGAGTGCACGGCCGATCACGGGAAGCTTCGCGGATGGCGGCAGAGACACGGTAGAGGAGAAGAGCAGTGGAGGCTTGATTGTCCCCGGTCGGGGCCGCACACAGATAAATTCCTGCAAAGAACTGCTCTTTGTAATACGAAGAAAACAGTGGCTTCGCAGCCTGCGAAGGAAATCGTTTGTAATACGAACGATTTTCTTTGTAATACAAAGGAAAAATCCTTCGCAGGCTGCGAAGAAGTTCTTTGTAGTCTACGAAGAATTTTTCCTTTGTATTACAAAGAAAATCGTTCGTATTACAAACGATTTCCTTCGCAGGCTGCGAAGCCGCCATTTTCTTTGTAATACAAAGAGCAGTTCTTTGTAGAGTTTTAAGTGTGCAGGGGATCTGAAACATCTGCAGCACGCCAGGGAGCTCCGAACCGGCACTGCCACACAGCCAAGAGCCTGAAAGAGGGACCACTCCGGAACGCGACGGTACCCGCGCCGACGAAGGTGCCATGGAGGGCGATGGGGTACTGCAGACACACCACAACGACGTCTGGGAAAGCCGCACCGCAGCGCGCATACGCGTCTCGGACAAGTACAACCAGTGGAGAGGGCCTCCTGGAAGTTCGTGAGCAGCCCGAAACGGAGATAGGGTGGGTCCCGCAGCGCAGATAGTGAACTCCTTTTCAGTCTCGCACGGTGCAGAACGGAGCACCCTGAGACAGCTAGATCAAATCGGTGGACTACTCCGGGACTCCAACGGCCTGCATGGAGGCCTACAGGGCGGAGCAGTGCTCACTGTCGCAGCTTCTGGAAGTCCACGCAGAGCAGTTAACCTCCTGCGCGGAGTGGCAGAATGATGCGTAGGGTGACGGCCTGGACGATGGTGGACAGTGGCGGATCCAGAGGCGGCCTTTGGGTGGAGCAGAGGAGGTTGGTGCCTGTGTACAGGGGCAAAATGTGGCCTGTGCCTATTGTTCTGGCGACTATCGGTGCCGTGACGGAGGCGAAAAACCCTTTGCTCCTCTCCTGCATCCGCGTGGGAGCGGACGTACGGAGCGCATGGCATGCGAGGCAAGCCGACGCAAACGCATCAGGTGCGTGGTAAAGGTCCTGTGTCCCCGCATTGGAGGCAGTACCGCGGAAATTGGAGCAATGTACGAGGGCGTCCCTGCTGCCAAACGGTCCAATGACAAGCTTCCGTCATTCCTAGCAATTGGTTTGCTGTTGCGTTTTTAGTTGGTCCCCAGCGGCGGCGACTTCACTTGAAACAGTAGCGCGGCGATGTCGGCAAAATAAAAGCAGCAAAGGGCCGTGTGACGTCAGTCTCGCAGCGCGGCCACAGTCCGTCCGGCCGTCCGCGCGCCTCGCCGCGGATCCCGCCTGGCCGCTGCCTCAGCAGTACCGCTTATCGCAGTTGCGCCGCGACGACACCGACTGGAACCAAAGGACCACGCGGTCCCGCCAATCCGACGCCTCCATCCGGCCGCTGTCTCAGCAGAGCCGCGTATCACAGCCGCGTCGCGACGCTACCGGGCCGCGAACCAAGGACGAGACGAATGCTTCTGGCTGGGAATTAGAAAAACCAGACGAAGGGAAGCCTTGAAAGATCGTGACGGGTGACGGCAAAATGCGCTGTTAACAAATCGACGAGGCTGCAAGAGAATGCTGTAAAAAACCTGAAAAGGAAAAGCTGGAAAAAATGGTTGAAAACTGTCCGGCCTATGGCGCGCCAGCAGGGCAAGGCCGGGCGGCCGGCCAAAGCCAGAGGACAGGGGGAGGCCCTTTGACGAGCCACCACCGCGTCACCCAGCCCAGGCAACACCAGCCCGTCTTACCACGCCGCGCGTCCCATTTCCTGGAGCAGTTTGACTAAAACTAGACAAGGCAAACACAACAGCAGCGGCCAAAGCAAGGCCCTGCACCTGCAGACAACGGGCGGGGAGCACCCGGCCCCACTAGACCCCCCTAGCCCCTCGGCCCGCAGGCCCCACCGGACGACGCAGAGTCACCTGGAATTCCGCCGAATGTCGGTGCAGGAGAAGCGGGAGCTGTAGGAGGATCCACGGCGATGACACCAAGGAAGGAGCTGCGGGGCCCCAGGGTCCATCGTGACGCGGGCAGACCGAGGGCCGAGGGCCGCATAACCTCACTCCGCGGGGCACGCAGGCGCGTCACAACGTGCATATCGCACGCGCAGACCCGCAGCGAACAAAGGAAGCACGTGGCGGGACGAAAAATGCCCACAACGGCCACAAAACACCACCGATCGGCACACGAACACGCACACACAATCACTGCTACGACACGCGTCGGATGGTACCGAAATCAGCCGCCGGGACCGACTTTATACCACCTCAAACGACACATATACGGGAGCGGCCCCGCCCGGCGGCCGGCAGCGCTCACGTCCGCCACGGGACTCCGTAAGTCCGGTGGAACCCGCCATAGTCCGGACTCAGGGTGTAGGGAGACCACTGTTCGGGTGGCGCACTCTTACACCGTGGCCGGACTTGGGTGGACTCTGCCGGGGCTTGGCCAAGGCTTTGCCGGGTTCCTATAGGGCGACCGGGTGTCGGCCGGCCCGGCCCCTCGGCCGGGTCTAGGCCGGGTCTTTGCCGGGTCTCGGCCTCGGCCGGGTCGGGGCCGGGTCTCGGGGGGGGGGGGGGGGGGGGGGGGGGGTCGGGGCCTATGGGCCGGGACTTCGTCGGAGTCTAGGGAAAGGCATCATTCTCGGCCGCCACCGCACGTCAGCACTCCAGCCCTTCTCCAAAGTCCGCACCCATCCGCATCACCAAGAATCGGTATGGTGCGCTGCCGTAGCCATTTCCGCAGCTTAAGGCGGTTCCCCGGTGGTTTTCCGGCGAAAATTTAGTTCCCCGGGAGTTCCCCGGGAGTTCCCCGGGCGTTCCCCGGGTGTTCTCCGGGAGTTCCCCGGGCGTTCCCCGGGTGTTCTCCGGGAGTTCTCCGGGTGTTCTCCGGGTGTTCCCCGGCCGTTCCCCGGGTGTTCTCCGGGAGTTCCCCGGGTGTTCTCCGGGTGTTCTCCGGGTGTTCCCCGGGTGTTCCCCGGGTGTTCCCCGGGTGTTCCCCGGGTGCTCCCCGGGTGCTCCCCGGGTGCTCCCCGGGTGTTCCCCGGTAGTTCCCGGGGAGTACCCGGGTGGCCCCCGGCAATTCTCCGATGGGCGTTTCATCTCGGGCGGTCTGACGTACTCGCAATACGCATGATTAAGGCACGATGCATTTTGGCGAGTTACGCATGTTTTAAAGTCAACGTATGTTACGCTGATCGTTTCATCGTAAGAATTCGAGGGTGCACTTAGTTCGTTACCTTTTCCATTGCTCTGTCATCGCTGCTCCTCTCAATGGACTGCCACTGAGTGCGAGAGGGGGCAGAGTGGACGCCGCCACCCTGCCTAACTGAGCCATCACTGCAGCAGCAGTGAGCCAGAGCCAGACGACCGGTGGAGACGGCCACAACTCAATTCGTGTTTTGAGCTAGAGTCTTCAGTTGGGACTCACGCCTCTCCGCTTCACCCCTCCCCCGTCTGTCCAACATAAATGGATGGGACAATTTCTTCCCTGCGCTTGACTTCAAGCGCTAAGTCTCTAAGCGAAGTTGTCTGCTTATGTAGCGCAGAAATACTACTCTGTTAAAAGTGTGCCGCGTAATGTTGCAGGTACTTCATGGTGCCGCGTTTCTACCGCTTGAGACTGCTGCCAACCCGACCTCAGGTAAGTGAGAAGTTGAAATTCCGGTGGTCATACTTTATCATAATGATGAATGTTGTCCCGTCCATTGCTTTTGCAATCGTCAAGTTTCATTCGGTTGCGTCTAAAACCGCAATGCTAACGCTTTCGAAACAGTTTGTCAATTCTGCGAGACGATATATGCTTCCCTCAATCCTCTTTCAAATCGTTACGAAGTCACGGCCAGCCACAGCTACCTGAGCGTAATGTCCTTTCAATGAATTTAAATCAACTAATCGTTTCTCGGTCGCAGTGTGTGTGCTCGCAAGTTAAACTGTTTCACGCCAGCATGGCACTAGCATGAGATAGGCGCTGAGCATTTGTTGAAACATACCTATCCGTTGCAACATACATTCGCAGACTTGTTCTGAGTTTTTGTCAAAGAACCTACGGACGTGCGCATCAGTAAGTGTATGAGCATTTTTATTTGGTATAGAAACATTGTCATCCCTCACTGGTTAAACTGGAGCGTTGTTGTGTGCTTCATTCAAGCATACAACTACGCCTGAAAGCTTTACGCTTGACGTCAAGCGTAGATTAGAAATTCTCCCATGCATTTAGATAGGCGGGAAAGAGGTGAAATGGAGAACTACGCTTGAAGCTGAGCGTAGTTCTACTACGCTTGAAGAAGGGCATAAAAGTACGCTCGAGTTCTACCCGTGCTCTTGACGAATGTGTTAGACTTCTTTACGAATCTTTACTTATGCGATTACACGTCCGTAGTGAACATGGATAAAAAGGATGAGAGTGTGTGTTTCATTATCTTTCTAGTTGCACTGTGAGAAAAAAGTACGGGACATGTCTGGTCAATAATTTGCCTGGACCGTCCGTACTTGCCAACTACGGTCCGTTCCGTACTGTTTTCCGTACCCATTTTCATGGGTTCATATGGAGCAAGTACGGAACGATCCGTACTTTTCTCCGTACCTCTGTACTATATTTTTCTGTACCATTTCCGTACAAAAGTGCGGAATTTTTTACAGTGTGGGGTGTCCCGTGTCAGTCGTAACCTCAACTTTGTTTGACAGGCACCGCTGCCCCCACCGAGCGCAGATGTCCTAGACCTGTCCAGTATGTCATCGAGTCCGAAGAAGCCTCTTCCGGACAAGCGTCTCCTCAATGTATGTACTCACCGCTGTTCACTGCCTTTCAACGAATGAGACGTCACATTCGTTAGAATGTTAATTTTGTCACTTCTCTTGCATGCATACACTGTTTAAACTAAAGCGTTACTCTATGCTTGATTCAAGCATAAAGTTCCGCTTGAAGACGTTACGCTTGAAATGAAGTATACTCTAGAACTTCCCCCATGCATTTTAGATAGGGGGAACACTGTGCGAAAAAAAGACAGTAAATTCCGTTAATTTTTTTGCCGGGATTTACTGTAGTTCACGACACAGTATTTACTGTGCCTGGTTACAGAATTGACTGTACCTGGTACAGGATTTTTCGTACTCCACTCCTGTGGTAACAGTAAATCCCGTACAAAGTACAATAGATCCTGTAAAAAAGTACAGTAAATCCTGTACTCTGAACTACAGTGACAGCTGTACTAATCACTACAGGATTTACTGTGATTTTTTCCCACAGTGAATCTTGGCGGTCGAGCCTGGTGTAAAATTCACGAACTATTTTTTCGTATACACACTAAATGTTTTTTTACAAAATTCGTACGAGACGTCACAGTTTTTTGTGCACACGAACTTTTCGTACAAATTTGTACAAAATTTTGTACAATTTTGTACAAAAATGGCAAAAAACGTGCAGTTTTTCGTACGAAAATCGTACGAAAATTTCGTGTGCACTGTGATGTCTCGTACAAAATTGTACATAACATTTTATGTGTAACAAAGTAAACTAGCTTTTATTATGTATGCCCTAAGTACTCGGTACAAACTAAATGCTTTTGTACAAAGGTTGTACGAGACATCACAGTTTTGTGCACACGAACTTTTCGTATAAATTTGTTCAAACTTTTGTACAATTTTGTACGAAAATGGTGAAAAACGTGCAGTTTTTCGTAATAAAATTGTAAGAAAATTTCGTGTGCACTTAAAACTTTGATGTCTCGTACAAAATTGTACATAACATTTAATGTGTAAGGTTTTGAGCGTGTGCCTTGACCCTTGTCGTGCAGAAGCGCGTGCTGCTGGGGCTGCGCTGCGACGTGCTGCCCAACTGGTGCAAGGCGCTGCTGCAGCGGATGGCGCCGCAGCTGGAGGCGCTGGCCATGGTGTCTGCGCAGCAGCAGCACCTGCGCCAGGCCGCCGCCATGCCCGGCCTGCGCGCCCTGCACCTGTCTGGCCGCGCCGTGGCCGTGGACCCCGTCGTGGACCTGACGGGCGGCGACGACGTCGCGCACCTGGCCGTGGACTCGCTGGAGTACGCCGTGGACAAGGCGCCCCTGCCCGCCCTGCTGCGCGAGCTGCACATCGAGAACGCGACGCGCGAGCAGCTGATGCAGGTCGGTGGTTCAGAAAGTTGGACTTCATTTGTCCAAAGTTCGGCTTGGTTTGTTCAAAGTTTGACGAATTCGTTCGTAGTTCCAGTTGGTTTGTCCAAAGTTTGGCTTTGTTTGTCGAAAGTTTGACTTGATTTGTTTAACATTGGACTTAACTCATTATGTCATAAGGTTTACTTTCATTGTTTCATGATTGACTTTATTTGGCACGTCATTACGTTGCTAATTCAAGTAAAGACCAAGTCCACGCTAGGTAGCGTGGACCACTATGGTCCACGCCACGGAACGTGGACCACTCATGGTCCACACTTTAAAGTGTGGCTGGCCTATGAGGAGTTCGACGCTGCATAGCGTAGACCATAGTCCACGTTTCCTACCATGCGTGGCCCACGTTAAATGTACTTCTTCCTACTTCAGTCTGAAATTGATCCAGGAAGCGGAAGAAGGGGATAACTCAATTATGCCCATTTTTCTGGAGAAACAAAAAACTGTTAGCAGGGAAAACTAAAACAAAACAAATGAATGTTGCAGATGTTAATAATTTCAAAAAGCATTAGTAAAATTTTGGAAAAAAAATCAAAAGTAGGTCACTCCGCAGATGATTTCTGCGACTTGTCACTTTCCGTTGAAATGGAAAACAGAGTCAGCTCACCTTATATTTCCTAAACAAAGGGGAATTTGGAGACAAGTCAAGTGGAACAATAGTCTGCATAAAGTGTATGTTACTCTGGTGTATTTTTTGGACTTAGCTCTTTATTCCAAATTAATTTTTAAAATTAAGGAGGGGTTAAGTTGAGTTAATTCTTTTACACTAGACCCATGAGTTATATCCTTTGGCAATTTGTCAAACGGACTCATGTAGACTAAGGTTGAGTTATCTCCATTTTCCAATGAAATTTAGACTGTAAAAGGGGTTTAGTTGAGTTATACCCTTTTTCCATGTGGATTTTCTCCTAAACTGCTTGGAATTCAGTCAAATAATTTGGTGTAATGATTTAAACCATTCTAAGGCACAATAATATAATAAAAACTCAATTTGGGGATAAGTCAAGTTATTCCTTCTTCCGCTTCCTGGATCAAGAATTACTTTTGTAACGATGGGCGCTCGACGCAAACATTTGGTGTGATCTGCCAGTGCGGTGACCGTGGCGCGTGCTTGCAGGTGCCCTCCCTGGCGTCGCTGCGTCGGCTGGACCTGCACTGTCTGTTCGACGCGCCGCTGCCCCTGATGAGCTTCGAGCCGGCCGAGCCTCCCGCCGGGCTGGAGTGGCTGCGCCTGGGCATCTACCCGCTGGTGACCGCGCTGGCCCTGATCCGCGCCAACGCCGCCACTCTGCGGGAACTGGAGCTGGTGGCCGCCACCAAGGTGCGTGTCCGTTTCTTTTGCCTCACACTGCTAAATCTTAACGACGGTCAAGGTCGACTTCTCCTGTTCGCAGGGCATTCTAACTTAATTTATTCAGATTTCTGGTGCTCGTAACTCGAAAGCGAACAGTTCAAAAAGCCATGTGTAGGAAAACTTACATTCAACTTTGAATTTTGCTATTTTATTTTACACTACTATTTCTAGCCGTTTTAGAATTAAATTTTCTAAAAAAAGCTTGGATAGTTCAGTTAACATGCTTGGGCGGCAAAGCCAGGGAATCTAAGGTAGATAACGGGAAAGTTCGGGAATCCGGCATGAAAGTCATGGAAAATTGACAAAAGTGGGTCTCAATTGAGTCAGTCATCTCGATCCGGAGAGCAACGGCGCTACCACGCCGGCCTTTTTTTTCTTCGCCTCAGTACAAGTTTGTAACGCGTGGAAGTAACGCACATTATAAATGGAAAACTCTCAGGCGGTCGCGATAAAGTTAGGGATAATTTAGGAAAATAAATCTCTGCATCTTGTTGCAGCCCTGCAAGAAACATAGGGTTCAGGTCCAACATTCGTTCGCGCTTAAAGATAGGGCCCGTGGAACGGCATCTAAATTTTGCCCACTTTACCAATTTGCGCTGTTTCGATGATGACGATAATGGGTTCCGTCCTGAAATTTTTGCATGCCTGTGTCTCTTTGGTCACGTATTTCGGTTCCCCATGCTTTGCGTTGCCTGCACGCCTAAAACCTCATGAAGTGAGCATTATTGGCTGAGCGATAGCGAAGCCTGTTACTCCAGTGGGGTTGAAAAGTTTTTCATGTCTGTCTGTCTGTCTGTCTGTCTGTCTGTGTGTCTGTGTGCACTACTCCTCCTGAACGGCTCGGCCGATCTCGGAGAGATTTTGCACACTTTTTCGGTATGTCCTTGGCTCGGCACACGCGAAATTTCACTACCCTAGCTCATCTGGTTCAGTTTTTATAGCCGAAAAACACCTTAAAAACGGCCAAAAATCGAGTTGTCTGCAGGCAGATGCCTTCTGTCTTGAGGAAAGGGGGGTCTGGGGGGCAGGGCCCCCCAGCCTTGCCAAGTTGAAAAGTTTCAAGGGTCAAGATCGTGTGATCTGAGGGGCATCTGGGGGGTGGAGCCCCCCAGCATGCAACAAGCTGGAAGAAACCGACGATGGACAAGCCATTGCCTACCGAAGGCAGGCTAGCGCCGCAGGCCAAGGTAGGTGTAAACGCCAGGCGTGGATTGTCGAAACTGGCGCAGCATCGCGAAGCCTGTTACGACAAGACACGGTCTGGCGTACACCTACCTTGTATGTAAGGCACTAAGAGTTCAGTTTAATAAACGTAGAAGTAGTTGGTAACGTTCAATGTATTGTCATTGTGAGCTTGCCTACACTGCAAGGAAAAGAGTGGATAGTACAATAAAAGTTCAACAAAAACTGTGCAATAAAAGTACAACAGAGATTGTAGAAAGTACAACGAGAATTGTACAAACCACAACGAGGCCTGGACTGCCCAGCACTCGTCATGCCGGTTCCATTGTACTTTGTACAACAATTGTTGTACTTGAAAAGTACACTAAATTCCTGATAAAAAATTTGCCAGAAATTTGTGTACTTTTGTTGTGGTTATTTTCTGCAGTGTACGTATGCTGAAAATACTTCTACGTAACTTACTAGTTGGTACTGTTCTTTGTAAAGCCTGAGATGGTTTGTCAGGTTGTGTGGCTGACCTGTTCTGCCCCCAGGAGCCCTACGGCTGCCCCGACCTGCCGCTGGAGCTGCAGCGCTGCGGGCTGTCCTCGCTGCGCCGCCTGGTGCTGTGGCGCGGCACGGTGGCGGGGGCGTTCTGCGGCCACGACGTGACCGAGTGCCTGGCGCAGAAGGCGGCCATGCTGAGCGCCCTGGCGCACGCCGCGGTCTTCTGCAGCGAGTGCGACAAGGCGGACCCTGGGCTGGCGGGGGCAATGGCCGAGTCTGCCATCGAGACAGGGACGAAACCACCAGGGCCTGCTGCATTGTCGTTGATGCTTTCGACAGCAGGGCCTTCAACACCAGGACCGTCAACAGCAGGGCCTTCAACACCAGGACCGTCAACAGCAGGGCCTTCCACGTCACGGTCTTCGACATCAGGGCCTTCGACATCAGGGCCTCCACAGGAAGAGCTACTGCTGGAGCTTGAGCTGGCATGACAGCGACCGCCTGCGCTACCAACGGCTACCGTCTTGCAGTCTTCTGTGTAGGCCCATCCTTGCAGGGTGACCACTTACTGTGTTTCTCTTTGATGTAAACTCTCTTTATTTTGTGTTGGTTCTTTGGTGCCTTGAAGAGGGTCGGCCTTTCGGGTCGCGGTTTCTTTGTGTTTGTTGTGACAGATTTTATGTTTTGTTGTTTCATTTTGAGTTTACTACATGGAATTTGGGTTGTGAAAGAATAAACTCGTGTTGCTCCTTGACTGTTGAATGACTTTGCCAAAGCACTTCTGCACTTTCATCGTTCAATCACCATTTTATAAACATTCTGAGACGTTTGAGTGTGTTTCATCATAGAAGCTTACCATATTTGGCAAGGCAACCTAGGTACACTCAAAGATCCGTAAGGACTTTTTGGCGAGCGATAGCGAGCCCATGCCGTGTTTGGGGGCACCAAAAAGTGACTGGTCGTGCGTCTGTCTGTCTGTGTGTCTGTAACTCACTCACGTTTCTCAGCAACTACCGCACAAATAGTTTCAAAATTTCGCACCGGAAGGCTCCTAAATCTCCCCCAGGGGGAGTTTATCTTATATTCACGATTACTATTGTTTGAAATATTCAAAACATCTTTTTGAATAAGGTTCTTAGCGTGGTTAGGTTGGCAGTGGGTGGCAGCTCGTAGCAATTTTTCATACTTGCGGCCGCGACTCAAATACGGGACCTAGCAAAACATTGGCAAATAAAACAAACTAAAGAGCAGAAGGGCTTAGAAGTGAGTACGGTCATAGTTTTTTGATATTTTAGAATGATTGAAACCCCTCCGGAGTGTCAACTCAGTGAAATACGGAAAATGAAAGTGACAATTATTACGCGGTTCGTCCGTCCGTCCGCCCCCTCCCCTCCCCCGCTACACCGCTACAGAGGAAATGTTTTGGTCAGTGGAGTGTGTTTGATATTTGCAAGAATGATTTGGTCTTTTTAACCTTTGTGAGTGTATTTCCATTTTTATTCTCAGACACTATACTTTTTAGTTGTTTGCTTTGCTTAAATAACAGTTAGAAAATAAATTAATACATTCTATAAGTACACTCTGGACACTAATGTTGCAAAAATAAATAGCCCTTGCTGACTCTTGGCACTGATTCTTGGAAAAGGCTTCATTGCAATGCTGTAAGTTTACTATAGTACTAACCTTAAAGATAACCATACGGTGAGTGAGTGGAGCGCATACAAGGTTTGACATTGACATCTGATTCAATGAGACGATTCAGTGACTTGATCATATGATTTCATGAGACGATTCTTTTAACTTCATCATACATCGTCTGCGTCAACTGGTAATTTGTGTCGGTCAAGGTTTTAGTTGGCTCTCTTTTTAATTTACTTTGAATGTCAGGTAAATACTTATGCTATACTGTTTCAAAGATTAAATATCACATCATGACTATCATTATGAATAAGATTAACTTGCGTTTAGCAAAAAGTGGGCTCGACATCGGATTCTATGGAACGATTCAGTGGGTCTGATAGAAGGTCTTCTCCATAAAGTAGTTGCAATCAGCCTGCCTGTAAATGTGTCTCTTTTTAATTAATTCAGATAAATCAATATAGTTTCATCCGCTAGTTTAAAATAAAAGGAAGCATCCGCTAGTTTAAAATAAAAGGAAGATAAAAGGCTTTATAGGTATTACTAATAACATTGTGTATTCATAAGTTCAACAACAAGGAGATATCGAATGGTAATTGAGGCATTTGTGAATCGTATTAAGCAATTCAATGCTGGCAGTTGAATGTTACTCGACTGAGTAACAGGGTCAGGGTTCATGGTACGACACCGTGAACAGGAAACATACTTAGAAATTGCGTTCATGTTAACAACAGCAGACCCATACTTATTCAACTAGAATTACATGATTTTGGGCCAAAATTTCCTCGGTGAGTCATTGACTCCTACAGTTTTTGGTGTGCTGATCACGAAAACGACTTCCAATTTCATCCCAGACCTTTTACTTTTCCCAAAATTTACCAATTTCGGACCAAAATTTTCAAGTCGAGTTTTACATAGTGTCCTGCAGTTTTTGGTGTGCTGATCACGAAAATGACTTCCGATTTCATCCCAGACCTTTACTTTTCCCAAAATTTATCAATTTCGGACCAAAATTTTCAAGTCGAGTTTTACATAGTTTCCTGCAGTTTTTGGTGTGCTGATCTCGAAAATGACTTCCGATTTCATCCCAGACCTTTACTTTTCCCAAAATTTACCAATTTCGGACCAAAATTTTCAAGTCGAGTTTTATCTAGTTTCCTGCAGTTTTTGGTGTGCTGATCACGAAAATGACTTCCAATTTCATCCCAGCCCATTACTTTTCCTAAAATTTACCAATTTCGGACCAAAATTTGCAAGTCGAGTTTTACATAGTTTCCTGCAGTTTTTGGTGTGCTGATCACGAAAATGACTTCCGATTTCATCCCAGACCTTTACTTTTCCCAAAATTTACCAATTTGTGACCAAAATTTCAATGTTTAGTTTCCTATTGTTTCCTGCAGTTTTCAGCAGGATAATCACGAAAATGACATTAAGTCCGGCCCTTTTGTTATGGAAGACCCCGTATTGGCCTTATTTTGCACATATTCTTCACCATCTCATATAAGAATGTGTTCAGACGCATCGCTCGCCTACTACGCGCCCAAACTAAACGGCGCGTACCCCTAGTGTAGGGGTTCCAACGAAGGGGCAGCGCTTCGCAGATTGTGTAGTGTACGGGGGAGGGCGTGACGCGAGATCCCCAGGCTGCTTTCCAGGAGAGCGATTCTCACGTTACGGGGTAGTTTCGTTTCTTCTGACTCCTGTGCCCAAACGAGCGCAGATATCGACATGGGGTTTGTTTCTGATGTTAGGGAGGGCCATTGCCCACTAAACGCACACGTTTCGAAAAGTTCACGTCCGTTGGATTGGTCTACGTAGCGTTTGGAATACCCTAAATGTAACTTCCGTGATTGTCCAAAGAGAACATACTCGAACTTTCCGCCCCCAGTGTGTCGGTGTGGTTCGAAAATGCTGCCAACTGTCGATGGGGATTCGAAGCTTGGCATGTCTCGACCTAATTTCAACCGAAGACCAACACGCCGGACTTCTTTCAAAGGTACTTATGCTGCAACGAAAAATGTCCTCCGTGTATTCAATTTCACTACACTAATTTCGAAAAGGCAGCTCTGGACTTCTCCCCAAGCCAAACTTTTAACTTTCCATGACACAAGCCATCAAAGTGGAGTCCCTGGGATATAATTGCATGGGTCACGGAAATCTAAGATGCTGTACACGGTCTCAAAGCGGGCTAGAGCATTATAAAATGGCGTGTATCAACAATTACCTGTAACTTCCGTGGCACCCTTTACCCAATGTTGCAGCAGTACTAGGTGAGAAAAATTTCCGCTGAAATGTCGGGCTTAGAGTATCATTTGACCCTGGAACGACTTTTAAGCCACAGCAAGCCCGAGTCAGCCGTTAAAGCCGATTTTCACACTTTGTAACTACCGTGATAACGTAATTTCCGTGATCAAAACACCCACTAAAACGTGTGGGAATACCTTATGGCTCATGTTTTTAGGAAGGTAGTACAAGGTCTTTACTATAAATACCATTGCCATAACTCTAGTATCATCCAGGACCCCAATAATCAGAAAAACTTAATTGGATATTTTTCACTTTCGGCAAATCAGAGACGCCAAAACTACCCCGAAACGTGAGAATCGCTCAGGAATCAGTTCGAAATCACAAAGGAGGGGTTACTTCGCACCGAGGACGTTCATGCGGACAAGGAGCTGTCAGTGAGGGGTCTTCGGCTGGAAACGCGGTACGCTCCGCTCGAGAGCACAAGCATGCGGATACGTGAACGTACCATCTGCTATAAACGAAGTGCGAGTGTGTTATTACCTTTGTCGTGACCCCGGGGTGGTGAGATTTCGTTCATTACATTTTCTTACCTCCGTGAAGCTGGCAGAACCCAATATTGCACAATTGATCGGACATGTGTCAAAAAATTGAGCACGAATTGAGCAATCGATTGCACTATACCGTTTTATTTGTGCATGCTCGGAACAGTACTTACAGCGTCTTGCTATTGGGTTCTGCTGGGTTCACGCCAGCAGCGCCCAATCGAGCTACAGCAACGGGACAGGTGCCAAAAAATTGAGCACGAATTGAGCAACCAATTGCACTATACCGTTTTAATTGTGCGTTGAAACGAAGGTCATAATCCACCACAATCGTTTTCCCAGGTAACACTTACCAGCAGCGCCCAATCGTGTTACAGCAACGAGACAGGTGCCAAAAAATTGAGCACGAATTGAGCAACCGATTGCACCATACCGTTTTAAATGTGCGTTGAAACGAAGGTCATAATCTACCACAATTGTTTTCCCAGGTAACACTTATCAGCAGTGCCCAATCGACCTTCGTTTCAACGCACAATTAAAACGGTACAGTGAGCCCTCGTTGTTTGTCCCGGAGTCGGGAGTTCCTGGGGACAAACAACGAGGGACGGTAGTCATTTCCCCGCCGGCTCAAGCCGCCGTAATCCCTACCTGAAGGGTCAGCGCCGGGCGGCGGCCGGCCGGCGGGGCCTGGCCGTGGCCAAGGTGGTGGGGATGACTCAGGGACAAACAACGAGGGACGAAACGGGACAAACAACGCGGGCTCACTGTATAGTGCAATCGGTTGCTCAATTCGTGCTCAATTTTTTGGCACCTGTCTCGTTGCTGTAGCACGATTGGGCACTGCTGATAAGTGTTACCTGGGAAAACAATCGTGGTGGATTATGACCTTCGTTTCAACGCACAATTAAAACGGTAAAGTGCAATCGGTTGCTCAATTCGTGCTCAATTTTTTGGCACCTGTCTCGTTGCTGTAACACGATTGGGCGCTGCTGGTGTTACCTGGGAAAACGATTGTGGTGGATTATGACCTTCGTTTCAACGCACAATTAAAACGGTATAGTGCAATTGGTTGCTCAATTCGTGCTCAATTTTTTGGCACCTGTCCCGTTGCTGTAGCTCGATTGGGCGCTGCTGGCGTGAACCCAGCAGAACCCAATAGCAAGACGCTGTAAGTACTGTTCCGAGCATGCACAAATAAAACGGTGTAGTGCAATCGATTGCTCAATTCGTGCTCAATTTTTTGACACATGTCCGATCAATTGTGCAATATTGGGTTCTGCCAGCTTCACGGAGGTCATTTACCTTTTACCTATAATCAATTTGCTAT